ACCCTTTAGGGCCTGGGCGTGAGAGGAAGTCATAATTATGAAGAATGTGGAACAGTCAGGTAGATCCCTAGAAAAAGAGACTATTGGGGACAACGAATTGTAAATTGTGTCTAGAGGACATCCAAAGCCTGTTCTTGTCCTGCCCTTGAGCCAAACTGGAAACTCCCCACTCACTCTTTTCTAGTCATAGCTAGAAGCCCTAGGCTAATGACAGCTGTGACACTCACAGGGCAAGATAAGGCCTGCTGAGGACCATAAGGTACCTGGGGGAATGACAGCTTCCTTATTGGCTCCTGTCTTCCTTGCCCACCACGACCACAGTCACCATTACTGCTCTCAGAAACACCTGCTGCCCTTCAAGTATTGTCCTTGACTCAGATATAATCAATAAATACCAAGGTCCTGGCCACCCCATGGCTTTGTGTTCCTCATGAATAACTGGTCATCTCAGATCCCTGCCTGCACAGTATTTTGCTCTTGCTCTCTCCTCCCACTGTGCATCATAACGCTTGGCAGGAGGCTGGGGACTCACTGCAGGAGTCCCAATAACTGGCACCCCAGAAAGGGGCACTAATAGGAAATAAAAACAAAAAGTGAAAGCATGGCTTTGGAGAAGAGGATCAGAGGTCAAGTTCCTCACAGACCTTGGAAGAGCACAGCAACAATGATAAGGCTGTTTCCTGCATTGCTCTGCAGTGCAGGTGTCAAGTTTCAAAGCCCTGGGTTCGGGGTTTCCCAAGCAGAGACCAGGAGCCTCTTCCCTTGAGAAATGCAAAGAGAATCAGCTCTGTCGACTCTGGAGACTCAAACTGGATGCATATGTACTTATGTATGACAATGAGATACAATGACAGCTGGAACTATATATAATATGAATTTTAAACAAAAATCTGTGAGATCTTAAAAAGGAAATTACAGTAATGCAAAATTCTTGCTTGTGGGTCTGTTTGTTGTGGTGTGGTGTTGGTCCAGGGCTTTGCACATACTAAATATGTTCTCTACTACTTAACTACCCCTCCCAGCCCCATATGTTTTTTTTATTTTTTGTTTTTATGGAAGGGTCTATAGGGTATTCAGGGTCTCACTACTAGATTGGACTCATAGTGATTTGCCTGCCTTCAGCCTCCCAAGAGCTGGGATTACAGGTGCACGCCACCACACCCAGTCTCAATTGTCATCTCAGTGCGTCCCAGGGGCAGGGCCAGCATGGCAGACCATGGTATCAAATCCCTGGCTCCTGAGCCTGCTTGCAGGTACTTTAATCCACTGAGTTATTTGTATGCCCCCCATATGGTTTTAAAGTCAGACAATTAACGCAATGTAATGATATATTAATCAGTTATGATAAACATTGGTTTAGATCCTGATCAGCTAAAATAAGAATGCAGTTTCTTTCTTATAATTCAGTTGTCTGGGGGAAAAGGCCGAAAGTAAGACATTTACACAAAACAAGAGTTCTACTTATAAGCTTTACACCAGAGAAAAGAAAAATACACCTCATGTTTTAGGCCTGCTGCTTCAGCCTCAGTGACACAGCATTGTTTCCTTTCCCTTCTTTCTTTCCTTCCTTCTTTCCTTTCCTTCATTCTTCTTTCTTTCTTTCTTTCTTTCTTTCTTTCTTTCTTTCTTTCTTTTTTTCTTTCTCCTTCTTTCCTTTCTTCCTTCTTTCCTTTCTTTTTCCTTCCTTCCTTCCCTCTCTCCTTCCTTCCTTTCTTCCTTCCTTCCCTCTCTCCTTCCTTCATTTTTTCTTTCTTTTTGGATTTAGTACAGGGTATTGTTTCCTTTCCAATGACTCCAGTCCTTCCCACTGTCTTCCCCTAAAGACCCACATGCCCATAGACACACGCACAACCACCCGTGCAACTCCACTCTGCATTAAATGCTCTTCCTTCACATCACTTTGTTAAGCAAGCAGTCTTGATCGCCTTCTTTTCCCAAGTCAAATTCTGTTTCTGCCTTTGTCCACTTGTAGTTGCTAAACCTGAATACTACAGACAGACCAGACGATTTATAAGGAGCAGACATTTATTTATCCACCACTTCTAGGGGCTGCAAAGGCTGGAACACCGTGCCAGCGTCTGCCACTCAGCACTGGGGAAGGACCCGTTCCTAGGAACACTGTGGAGAGTCAGCGCTGGGGAGGCATAGGGAGTCACTGGGTAAGACAGAGTGACTTTGCTAAACTGGGTCTCTGTTCTTCTCAAGAAGCCACTGACACAGTTATGAGGCCCACACTTATGAACTTGTGAAACCTAACTTGCTATCCAAGGCCCCGCCGCCAGACACCATCGACATGATTTGGGGACTAAGTTTCAACATGAAGTTTTGAGTTTATGCACACAGACCTTGACATTTTTCCTATACACCTTAACACAGGCTTAATTACAGGTTTTCCTGCTTATTACCAATGGACGGGAATTCTGTAAGAAAAAGGGCCAGGACTGTTTTTCTGGCTTTTAGCGCCTCATATGCCTTGGAACGGAGATCCTGAAAAGCTGAGTGAACGGAACTGCTGTCTCCTTCCCAAAGCCCGACCACTGTGCTCTGCTTCTAAATCATGAGGGCTATTCTCCATCTTGTGTAACTCCACAAATTACTATGACATTATCAGGACTATATTTCAAAATATATTAGCAGAAACTAGATAAAGATGCTTAAAATCTATTTTATTTTATTGTTTTTTTTTTTTTGAAAGTTGCCAATCAGGCAGGCTGAATAGTTTGCTTTTTGGTGATCAGTCAAGGAGATGGCCGGCCTCTCCCTCCCTCTACCATCTGCCCCACCGTTCTCTCCAAAAATAACCACAGGTGGCCTCTTTAACCTAGATAAGTCTAAGACCTGGCCAGGGCGGAGGAGAGGCAACTGTGACAGTGTTGGCTTCAAGCTCCCGCACTGAATACTAGAGGATCAGGGCTGACCCATTTACTCAAATGTTTAATTCAAGAAACAATTACGCATCAGCCCCTCTGCAGCCCCCTGAGGACCACAGTAAGTTAACATACTTCCAAGACCTGTTATAACCACTCCTTATGCCTGCTCACAATATGCCAAAAGCGCACCCAGCATTTTACACCCATGATTCCATTCACTCCTCACCTAAGGAAGTACCATTATCCCTACATCTCATCTGGGGACATGGCTCTGAGCTGGGCTTCACTTCAGTTTATCTCGCTCAACATGCTTTCCTGGAGTGGTTCAAGTTTCTCTGAATGAGAAGAAAGTACCCAAAATGAATGCCATTAACCCTCATGAACACCTCTTAGCTAAGGGCTTTATGTAGTGTCTCTTCTTAGGCCATTAAAAAAAGAGACTCGAAAAGCTGAAGGACATTCCATTGGCCAGTTGGCATCACTATTCTTTCAGGCTTACCAGGGACCAAAGCATGTTGGGATCAGCCTCAGTACCTAGTTCCTTTGATCTGTCCTTAAGTTCTCCAGTTATATTAACACTTCCATGATATCCTTTTTCAGAATACTTCCTCACGTATCTATGAGTAAAAACAAGACTATACAGACAAGTGTCTCATAGCCTAATTTAACACCATTATACCACAGGCTAATTGCAATGAGTTTCCACTCAGTTCCTATTTAAAAATAAAAATCAGCATATCAACATGCAGTAAATACAAGGATTCAGTTTCACTTTTCTCTCCATACTTGCTTGCTGTGCATTGCTATGCGTGTCTGGCCTTTGTCGTCTTCAAAGCAATGACAGAGCCTTCGCCATGACATGCTTCAATTTTTGAAGATTAATTCTCTGTTCTTTCAAGTAAAATATACTGAACTATTTACATATCCATCTCTCAGAAACACTATGGGTAATGTCTGATTAACACCTCTTCTGTACAGTGCTCCCAATCTCAAGAGAGATTTTGGTTTTAGAAAATAAACTTCAACAGATAGAGACCTGAGTTTTACCAGGCACCGTCTCCCCAAAATGGAGAGGTAGAATTAGTTAAGTATAGAAACAAAGCATGTTCAGCGTCACCATCCTTCTGCTAAGTAAAGTTCTATTAAAGCCTCTGAACTTCCTCAGTGCTTTAATTCTATTAAAATACATGCAGAGAAGGACAAATTATTTCCAAAGAACAGCATGACAAGTAATTGAATCTTTCCGGAAATACAATTTGTTTTGAATTAGGAAAGCATCTATAAAGAGTTCCTTTGTCAGATGCAGAGGTTCTCTGGAGCAGTTTTCCTTGCAGAGGAGGTGCTCGCCAACCTGTCAAGGTCTCTCCTAAGAAATGGCCTGCGATCCAAGGCGCGGGAGCGTGCTGGCCTCTCAAGCTATCTGCCCCTCTGAGCATCTCTAGGTCACCATGCTCAGCGGTGGAGTTGTTTACGCTGCATTTTCAGCCAGGCACCAAGGACAGAAAAACCTACAGCACTCCCTTGGCTAAACTTCAAAACAAATTAACCATTCTGTAGCGAGGAAGATAAAGCAAGGCACATAAATAACAGTACTTCAGCTGCTGAAACGGGGGCTTAAATGTCAATCGTTATCCTTAATGTTAGCAATAATTTTCATCTCTAGCGTTCCCCTCCACAAAATTCCCAATGTCCATTTAAGTTCATCCACACCAACTAATATAAAGCTCTGCCCATAGCTATCAGCAGCCTTCCCCTCTTTCTCCAGAAACTATAACATGCTTGTACCATTTGTCACGGAGAACCCAAGTAATATAAAAAGACGCACAGCAAGTAATAGTACAACAAATCTCACCATCCTGTTTTGGCAGTCCTTCTAAAAAACAGTATTTTCATCTTCAGTTTTGAAAACTTTCTTGCTTCGAATTACCTTAGCTTGGTGCATCCTTCAACTAAAAAATCAATTCCCAACCCGTCGCTTCTAAAGAGAAATATACACGTGCACCGGACGAAGATAAAATTCACGTTCATCTTTACGCCACTAACCGTAGCCGCTGGGCCCCGGCTCTGAAGGGTCCTCAGCGACCCGGATTTGAAGTGCACCCGCAAGCCCTTGCCGCACCGAAAGCTCACCTGTTTTGGTCGTGTCCAAGTTTGCAAGGTAAACGCGTCACCCAAGGCGACGGGAAGGGCCGAGGGGGAGCAGGAATCTCACCCGGGCGGTCGGACCCCAGGCGCGGGCACTGGGGCACGCGAGGCGACCTGTCGCGCCCGGTCTCTCCCCACAGCACGGGGCCAGCAGACCTGGGGCCGAAAAGCCGCGCCTGCCCTCTGTGCGCAGACCGCCGGGGGCGCCCGGGTCGCCGCGCTTTCTGCACGGTGAGGGGCGGGAAGCGCTAAGCAACCGAATAGTTAAAAACGCCTTCCCAGAGCTGGGGCAGAGAGCGCTTTCGCCTCAGCGCCCCGGGCTGCACCTGGTGTAACTTCCACCCCTTGACCTGATTTGGAGCGTGAGAAAGAAACGGAGAGGGGAAAAAAAAAACACACAAAACAAAAACAGACGGAGGGCGCGAGAGCGCGCGGGCTGCGGGGGCGCGCGGGGATCCGGCGAGAACTTGCGGCGAGGCCCGAGGCCGCCCGCGCCCAG